CCCAATAGTCGGTTGTGGAGGTGGTGAATATTTCATGGGTGGCGGTGACGGCTACATGCACGCGAAACTGTTTTCTCGAGGCCGACTTCGTCAACGTCGGGCCCGATGCCGAGCCTGAAGCTTCTGAACAGGACCACTGCGGCAGCGATTTGTGGCAGCGTGTCGTCCGCTCTGACCTGGGAGAGTGGGTGGGACGTCTGTTGTGATGATTTAATTACAGCTGATGATGATACCGACACTGCGGAACCGTGCACGGGGGCATTGTGCATTGGGGCATTGTGAATGAAGTACATGGCAAGAGCGATTTGAAGGAATGGGATTGCGAAAACGACGAAACTTTGGAGCTAGTGCCTTATGCAGCTTATGCCACGGGCCACGGCGAATGAGGCCCTGCCGTTTTAAATGAACTCGAGACCGCCCTTATTGCTTCTGCTCTTCGAAACACGTGCATCATGGACTTTTGGGGGCAAGAAAAATTTGTGTTTTCACTTGCAACTTCTTTTAAAACCTGTGTTTGATTTACTACGAAGTTTGGATACAACGAATGGATGCCGCGTCACGCTCAGGTTCGTTATAAGCAGGCTCGGCTGTAATAATAATAGTAATAGCTTATTTCATGTTGGAGTGTGGTACTTAGCGGTCTTTTTCAACCAATAAGCAATCATTACTAGTCCCAGCATCATCATCATGCAAGAAATGGTCAGTGAAGTTAAATTATTCATATATTATATTGTACAAAGAATGACAGGAACCCGACTGATGGCAGCTACAGTGAAACAGGCGACATAGAAAGGTAAAAAAAGAAAGAAACTTAGGAAGCGCGTAAAGTTTCACAATATTTATAGCTTGTAGCGTCGTCGTCGCCTATCATCATCATCATTTTCCAACCGCTGCACGTCTCGCATAGCTCATGCAGAGACCTCGAGGCACGAGCCAGAACAGAATGAGCTTACACACCTGGTGGTCTAGACGCCTGTCGCTGCTGTGGCTTTGCTTCGGCCTAGGAAATAAAGTGGCAAGACATTGGCACGGCCACGTCGGCTGTTCTCACATTGTTTTTCATCTGTTGTTACAAGCTTCTTCTTTTTATGAACTGTGTTTCTTGGTTGTAGAAATAAATTCACGAGGGATATAGTTCGGGATTACGAGAATATGAAGGCACCTTCTAGCTTAGCTATTCAATCTTTTTTAATTTGCACTTTTGCTTATGATTTCTACCTATGTTTGCTGTAAGCCTCTATAAATATTTGAACGCGTCAAATATTCAAACAAATATTGGAGTGCTTTGAATGTTTAATTGAATGCAGTATACTCCTTTTGAGTTCACTTTAGAGGGACCATGGTCATTTGTTCATCATACTGGGAGTTCGGCATACCAGAAGTGTCCCCAAAAAAGAAATGCTGTCATGTTGAAAACATCCAAACATGTTCCTGTAAAACACTGAATGGAGCATATTTACAATGGGAAGGAAAAGAACAAAATTTAAAAATTGGGTGCATATCTGCATGATTGGCTGCAAATGTAGTCAAAAGTCTTCTGTCTGGGTGCTGTGTGAGATATGAACGCCATTTGGTGGTAATGCCTGGAAACAAGCTTGTGTAGAATGCAGAGTCACTGGTAGGTAGCAGCACCGTATCGTCTTAGCCAAGTGTAGGAAATACCAGCTTTCTCGTATGTAGCGTCCCATTGTCAGCGCAGCATAAGAAACACAAAGTTCTTTACAATTACGTATCTATGCATTTTCCCTAAAGAAACACACCACCTAATACTTATGTATTGATGTTGTGCTGCAGATATGCATAATATTTGCTTTTTGATCAACAATGTTCACAAGTGTGAATGCAGCTGCCTGATCGAGATGGCTGGGCATTAAGGAATGCTTAAACTTTGGCCGGGTGGCTGAATCATTTTGAGTGACAGACAGACATGCAGACAGAAAGACAGACCAAAATATAGGTGTTGAGGTATCCCCAGAAAAACTGTTGTCTTTAAAGGCATTTGTTTGGCCCAGCTTCATAGATACCATGGCTTCAAGTAAAGTATTTACGTGAATATATCGAGTACTCGATTTCACGAGCTCATTATAGATAGTGTTCTAGTTCTGTACAAACCTCGTCACATGCTGTCTTGTATGTATTGATCGTGAATGTCTTGGTTTTAGGGCGATGCTTCTTTGCGAGATAAACGGGGCACATGGAAAAGAGTACTGCTCAGGCGCCAATGTCAAGCTCAGTCGGCAAGGAGGAAGTGCGAGCCATTTCTCGTTTCGTGTGGAACTCAGTCTGGCAGTTGGGTGGCATTTTCTTTTGGCTAGGTAGCCGCGACTGTGTGTTTAGTTTTTCTTTCCGGTGTGCAAAAGTGCGCTCTATAAAGAATATCCCTAAATTTTTGTTACGCTGTTGGTTCTTGCTTGAGCTGCTCTCATATGTGACAATATGCTCATGAATAAATTGCTACCATATTTTAACAATAAAACAGTAGCACGACCCCATTTTGACGATTAGAAAAAAAAAGAATGGAGAGAAAAGCATAACTTTCTTTCAACTAATGTAAAATTTATTCTTCTGGCTGTTTACCTTCTGCGAGCCTGTTTTACTGGCTTTCATATCACTATTGTTTTAATGGATTTGATATCGCATTCATTGCATGCTATTACCTTGACGAAGGCAATTTACGCTGAGTTGCTTAAGAAAGTCTGCAAGCTTTTCTTCAAGGTTTGGATATTTTATTTTCAGCTTGCAGTAACTCTTTATTGAAATGCAGCTGAAGATCTCCGTTTGCGCTTTTTCATGGTCACAAGCCTCGGGCACACAAAAAGACCTGACACAGCTGTATTTAGTATGCAAAAATAACTTACTTTGTCGTGCACATTTATAACCTCCTCAGTCGCAAGAAATTTCCGATGGAGGCGGAAATGTTGTAGGCCCGTGTACTCAGATTTAGGTGCACCTTAAAGAACCCCAGGTGGTCGAAATTTCAGGAGCCCTCCACTGCGGCGTCTCTCATAATCATATGGTTGTTTTGGGACGTTAAACCCCACAAATCAATCAATCATCAGTCAGTCGCAAGAATGCACCAATCAAAAATGTTTTTGCGAAACCGCATTATTTGACTCCCTACCCTTAAAAACAAATGCAGAAAAATTATGAATTCCACAATTTTAACGTTTATCTCAAAATGTAAGGGTCGTTTATGTACTCCTGATATTTTGAAGTCTCCGAGATTGAGTGCAACAAAATTATCAGACCGGAATGACTAAAATATGACCTACAAGGCGTTCATAGTTAAAATAATGCACTATAGACAATGTCGTTCATGCTGCAGCTAAGGAAAAAAGCTTTCTCTTATCACGAGGACGGAGCCGAGCTGTCGTGTTGTACTCAGCAATTTTCGTACGCTCATTTTGGGAGTATGACTAGACACACGGCGCCAGTTCTCAGGGCTTGTGAAAGCAACTCATCTTTATTGTTCCAAGACAAATTTGGACACATTGATATCAAACAATGATGATATTTAGCCTTTAAAACAATGGTGCCCAATTGGGTACCCGGGAACTCAGGAGGATAATTAAAACGGCACTTAGTTGCACTTCACTAGGAACAGTTTCGATGTGCACAGGCCTTATGCGCAACAATGCGAACTGACCACAGCATGTGCTTGGGCACCATTGTGTGATGGCAATTACAATGCGTTTGACACCTCTGATGGAAGTGCTAGCATCACAAACGTTGTTTCAGTTTCGTATCTGATTTTAAGGTACCGACAATTTTGTTCTTGTCACTTTCACTTGGCTTTTTTTGCCCCCTTCTCCTCACATTTTCCTCTCTAGCCAAGCTCTTGTGTTCTTGTGTTCTCTATTGTACTCCTGGTAAGAAACTGAAGAATACAAAAGGACACAATGGCTTGAGGATTAGGCAGTTCACTTTAAGAGTACTTTTTTTTTTGCATTGAGTTTATGAGAAATTCCTGAACACGTTTTGTTGCTTTCTTTGCTGATATAGGCGGCCCTTTTTTACCTACAGGCGAGGGGTTAGGAAAGTACCAGCTTTATAAGCTGACCTTTCTTTTCCGCCTATGTCGCTCTGTCTCTCCATGTTGCTTTACATCTTTGTGCCGAAAGATTTTTTTTTCCGTATTGCTTTCTCTTGCTCACCCGAATGCCTCACCCAGGCTGCAACGTTCGTTGTGCAGAATCACCATTGTTGTCAGTTTGTGCAAGAGTTTATCTCGAGAGAAGAGGCCTGCTATGTGGTTTTTAAGCAGATTTTTTTTATTGAGTCTCTGAGAAACCAAGCAAACATTCCCGTGTTGTTTGTCTTAAGCAAGAATTTGTCATAACAGAGTTTGTCTTAAGATGAGTTTATTGTATTAGTGTATTGAAATTCAATTTGGAAAGGGAGAGAGAGAATAAAACTTCATTTTGCGGTCAGGCTTGCGTTCTCATCTCCGTGGGTGGCATCCTCATTCCAGGTAGCCGTGAATAAAGATTCTTAAAGTTTCAAAGTATTCTAAAAAAAATAAATAGATGCAATTTGCTGCTCGTAAACCATCTCTCCAAAAGTGGACTCACTGCAGGGTGAGATTGCTGCTTCACAAAACTGCCTACTCGGGTAGAATCGACACTGTCACAGAGCCATGCTACATGGTTACATGGGCATACTACTTACACCTCGGTTACCTTTAATTTATATTGAAGATCATGCTATGCGGGGTTATGTAGGCTAAGCGTAGTAGTATTTAAAACATACAGTAGTCTACTGCCTGTAATATACACATTATTACTATCTTTCTACTACAATTTGAAACCACTTTGAAATTATTTGATACGAGTCACTATTCACTTTGAACTTCACTTTGAACCAAAAAAGTGACATTTGTGCAAACCTAATTGGGCATCATGAAAAAGCTGTTATGTAGTGTACATCATTTGCATATAATCACAGTCTCCTATTGCATGGACAATTATGCATTATAATGAAAGTAATGATTGCACCTGCAGGTCGTGCCAGGAGGTCACCAGAGGTTGAGAGTCTGGTTCTTCGTTGTGCCAATTTAGCTCTGCAAGGAGCATTGCCACAACCTGGTAAGAGCTCCGTCCCACATTTTGTTCCCAAAAAGCACCAAAATGCTCCCCCCTCCCCCCAGATGAATGTGTTTGTAAATGAATGGGCATGGCCATCTATCATTGCTAACACAAACGTAGGCCATTGGTCTTCTTTGCCGTATGTTCTGAACTGTTGTGCAAATTGGAAATGCTTGTAAATTTTTGAAGGCAATACAGGAAAGCAATGCAAACATTGTGTCAGACTTAAGGCACTGGAATGTATCACTTCAACAAGAAGCTGCAATCGAGTCGGCAGTTTTGCTGTAAGAACTATGGTAACCTCGCATTATTACATTTGCGACATTTTGTATAATACTAATGTGCCTTTTCTAGAAGCATTGTTTATAACTGGTGAATGTTTGCACACAGTTTACACATGTGCACACTGGGAAGTAACCCAAGTGGGAACTTGAAAGGGTTCCTGAACTACCCTTTAGACATAATAAGTAAACACATTCTGCGAATTTTGAACATTGCTGCCAACAGTTTAGCCTAATTTTGTAGTTTTGCATGGGATGTAAAGCGTAGAGGCGGAGTGCAGAGTTGCCGACTTTCTCTAGGGCCCTGTCTTCGTATACAGGTCCCATCCTCACTCACTCTGGTGGGCGCGGTGCCAGCTGTATATTGTCAAACTGCTGATTACTGCTATTGGCTAGTAGATGAAATGAATCAGGAGTGGCATTTGGACCGGATGCTTTTTTTCCGCAGGGTGTTGCCATGGGGAAGCGCACTAGTGCTTTAAACTTGCGCACTGGCAACAGTGGTGCACACAGCAATTATAATCGGAGAAATAAATGGCATTTTGTAACACACACTTCTTTTTTCTGTGCCGTGCTTCCCATGTAGCTTCTAGTGCTCTTCTTGGGACAAGAGAGGAGGGAAAGTGCTTTGAGTGCGAAATACATTTCTCAAGTGTAGTGAGGAAGAGAAAGATGACAGGTTCGTTGGGGTTGCTGCTGTGCATGATATCTGGGTCTCTGTCAGATCGGCACTACCCTGACTGGTGGTCATCACTGCATTAGCAATAAGTCGTCATATGACATTTGGTGGAGGCTGCTGCATTCCCTGCCCTCACCCTGGAACTGCGCGACCGAATGTTGCCAACTGTTTCACCTGCTTGAATGACGGACAGAGCCCGCCATCAGCCCAACACTGCCGGAGCTTCCAGCTCCAGTGGCATCATTCAGCTGTACCCCGACACTCCCATCATCGTCGTGTGTTCTTGTCCTCTTCGTCCCCGTGAAAATTGCGCTACTACACCGTATGGTTAAATGACCCCCATCTTCATGCAGAATAGGTGAGGCTGACGGGGACGAATGGCTTTACTCTTATGAGTGTGTCAGTGAGCCGAAAAACTGGGATGACCCGGCGAAACTTGTTGTCATCTTCTGCCTTTTTGACATTGCCAAGCTCTGGTGTCGCAATCACGAGCACGAGTTCCCCTCTTGCATTCGCAGACATTTTCGGCCGCCTAACCTTAAGGAAATTATGGGCTGAAAAACATTAACGCCAGCGTGCTCAAATGCCTGGTGAGTCATGTACGAGCTACACTGAGGATGTAGTCAGCATTTGTTCATGCGTCAATGCTTCCATGAGATAAGTGGAGAAAGTGAAACATATCCCGAAAACCATTGAGGACAAGGCATTTCAGATGCTTCTTGTACGAAATCCTGTTTCTGTTTAGAATGTCCTCATTCTTTGCCAAAGTTTCGATGAGCTGGGTCGACAAAGGATTCTTGCGCGTAGCACGGTCGCAGCTGCTGAACCTCTCTCGAGCCTCACGCTAGCTCCCAACTCCTCGTCTGATACATCGCAATCAAGCCAAATCAAAGACTTCATTCGAGAGGAGGTAGCGTGACAGCTTTCCATGCTGCCTCTAAGCGACCGACCCCCACAGCCTGACACTAGCTTGACACCTCCTGGCTGATCCCATCAGGAGAGCTCATCATCATCATCATCAGCCTGACTACGTCCACTGCAGGACAAAGGCCTCTCCCACGCTCCGCCAGTTAACCCGGTCCTGTGCCTGCTGCTGCCAATTTATATCCGCAAACTTCTTAATCTCGTCTGCCCACCTAACCTTCTGTCTCTCCCTAACCCGCTTTCCTTCTCTGGGAATCCAGTTAGTTACCCTTAATGACCAGCGGTTATCCTGTCTACGCGCTACAGGCCCGGCCCATGTCCATTTCCTCTTCTTTATTTCAACTATGATATCCTTAACCCCCGTTTGTCCCCTAATCCACTCTGCTCTCTTCTTGTCTCTTAAGGTTACACCCACCATTTTTCTTTCCATTGCTCGCTGCGTCGTCCTCAATTTAAGCTGAACCCCCTTTGTAAGTCTCCAGGTTTCTGCTCCGTAGCTAAGTACCGGCAAGATACAGCTGTTATATACCTTCCTCTTGAGGGATAGTGGCAATCTACCTGTCATAATTTGAGAGTGCTTGCCGAATGTACTCCACCCCATTCTTATTCTTCTAGTTACTTCAATCTCGTGGTTAGGCTCTGCGGTTATTACCTGCCCTAAGTAGACATAGTCTTTTACAACTTCAAGTGCACTATTACCTATCTCGAAGCGCTGCTCCTTTCCGAGGTTGTTGTACATTACTTTCGTTTTCTGCAGATTAATTTTAAGACCCACCTTGCTGCTCTCCTTGTCTAACTCCGTAATCATGAGTTGCAATTCCTCCCCTGAGTTACTCAGCAATGCAATGTCATCGGCAAAGCGCAGGTTACTAAGGTATTCTCCATTAACTCTTATCCCTAACTGTTCCCATTCTAGGCTTCTGAAAACCTCCTGTAAGCACGCGGTAAATAGCATTGGGGAGATTTTGTCCCCCTGCCTTACACCCTTCTTGATTGGTATTCTGTTGCTTTCTTTATGAAGCACTATGGTAGCAGTTGATCCCCTGTAGATTTCTTCCAGAACATTTATATATACTTCATCTACGCCCTGATTCCGCAGTGTCTGCATGACGGCTGATATTTCTACTGAATCAAACGCCTTCTCGTAATCTATGAAGGCTATGTATAGTGGTTGGTTATACTCTGACCATTTCTCTATTACCTGATTGATAGTATGAATGTGGTCAATTGTTGAGTAGCCTATTCGAAATCCTGCTTGTTCCTTTGGTTGATTGAATTCTAATGTTCTCTTTACTCTGTTAGCAATTACCTTTGTAAATAGCTTGTATACTACAGAGAGCAAGCTGATCGGCCTGTAATTCTTCAAGTCCTTGTCACCTCCTTTCTTATGTATTAAGATGATGTTAGCGTTCTTCCTAGACTCTGGTACCCTTCCCGTCAGGAGACGCCTCGTAAACAGGGTGGCTAGTTTTTCAAACACAATCTGTCCTCCATCTTTCAGCAGATCTGATGTTACCTGATCTTCACCAGCAGCTTTGCCTCTTTGCATGCTCTCCAAAGCTTTTCTGACTTCTTCTATCACTACTGGTGGGGTGTCATCTAGGTTACTGCTAGTTCTTATAGTATTAAGGTCGTGGTTGCCTCGGCTACTGTACAGATCTCTGTAAAACTCCTCCGCTATTTTAACTATCCTATCCATATTGCTAGTTATTTTGCCTTCTTTGTCCCTTAGTGCATACATCCGACTTTTGCCTATCCCAAGTTTTCTCTTCACTGCTCTGACGCTTCCTCCGTTTTTCAGAGCGTATTCAATTCTCTCCATGGTTTACCTTCTTACATCGCATACTTTACGCCTATTTATCAACTTCGAAAGCTCTGCCAGTTCTATTTTGTCTGTTGTACTTGAAACTTTCATGCTTTGACGCTTCTTAATTAGGTTCTTCGTTTCCTGGGAAAGCTTGCCAGTGTCCTGTCTAACTACCCTGCCTCCAACTTCCACTGCACACTCCGTAATGATACTCGTCAGATTATCATTCATTGTATCTACGCTAAGGTTGGTTTCCTCACTAAGAGCCGAATACCTGTTCTGCAGCGACACTCTGAATTCCTGTACTTTCCCTCTCAGTGATAGCTTATTGATTGGCTTCTTGCGTATCAGTTTCTGTCGTTCCTTCTTCAAGTCTAGGCGAATTCGAGACCTTACCATTCTATGGTCACTGCATTGTACCTTGCCAACCACTTCCACATCCTGGCCGATTCCTGGGTGTGCAGTCATTATAAAGTCTATTTCGTTCTTATTTTCGCCATTAGGGCTCCTCCATGTCCACTTGCGGTTTTCTCGTTTTCGGTAGAAAGTATTCAAAATCCGCAAATTATTGCGTTCTGCGAATTCTACTAGTAGCTCTCCTCTGGCGTTTCTAGTGCCGATGCCATAATCTCCTACTGCCTGGTCTCCAGCCTGCTTCTTCCCTACCTTTGCATTAAAGTCGCCCACCACTATAGTATACTGTGTTTTTACCTTACTCATTGCCGATTCCACGTCTTCATAGAAGCTTTCAACTGAAGCGTCATCATGGCTGGATGTAGGCGCGTAAGCCTGTACTACCTTCATCTTGTATCTTTTATTCAGTTTATTTACAATACCTACCACCCTTTCATTAATGCTATAGTATTCCTCTATGTTGCCACTCCCAGTTCTCTTCTGTCTGCCAAGCCCCGATAGCAAAGGACGTGCCCATTCTGTAGCACAGTATAGGCCTCATCTGTCCTCCTAACCTCACTGAGCCCTATTATATCCCATTTAACACCCTCTAGCTCCTCAAATAGTACAGCTAGACTTCCCTCACTAGATAAGGTTCTAGCGTTAAATGTTGCCAAGTTCAGGTTCCAAAGGCGGCCTGTAGTCCAGAGATTCTTAGCACCCTCTGCTGCGTTGCAGATCTGACCGCCGCCATGGTCAGTTGCTTCGCAGCTGCTGGGAACTGAGGGCCGTGAGTTATTTGACGTATGCATGTGGGAGGTAGTGGCCAGATACTGCACCAGGGTGGCCAATCCTTCTCTGGTGAGGGAGTGCATTCCCGGCGGTGGTTACTGGTGAGGCCGCACCCCAGGCCTCT